TCGAATTTCTTTTGGAAGTCCTTTGAATTGTAAAACTTTACGTTTATTTTTAAGTTTTCGTTGTTTTGTTTTTTATTTTTTTTTGTTGTACTGTGACTGATTGGGTTTTTCTTTTGTTTCTTTTTTCACTTTATGTACGAGTGTTTTTCTTTTTTTTTTCTTTTCTCCTTTTAATTAAGTGTGAACGAAAAGACGTCTAAAGTCAAAGTCATTGTAATGCTAAAGTATTAAGCGTTTTGCAATAAGAAGTTTTTTTTTGCAGTAAACATTTATTTTATGTCTAGACTATAAATAGTGCCTACCTTTTTTCTTTGCGTAACCTTTTTTGGCACATTACCCATAAGGCTTCATCTTCATTACATATGCATACTTTCCAGTGACTGTCTGATATAAAATTCAAGTTGTGTGTTTTGTACAACGACCGTGTGTTATATAAAATAGAAAGTTGAGATTTTATGTACATATTTATTATATCCTCAAATTGTGTTATATCAATGGAAAGGATGTAACAGTATTATTTTCTGAAGCAATTACCTGTCATTCAGAAAAATGTTTTTTATTGATATCAAACATAAATTATTAAGTTATGTCTGATACACGCAGAGGCATAATAAATGCGGTTTTTCATTATTGATATTCTATTTCTTGAATTTGCCATAGCCAATGTTTGGGCGGCTGCACATCAAGCTAAATACTGTATCACCTTATTCTGTTGTTATAAAGGAGATATTGCAATAAAAATGTATAGTCTGATGTGATATCCACTGTACCTTTTGCTGCAGTTAACAAAACTAATACAAGCCTTCACATAAAAAAAAATGGACAAAATTAGATAATTCTGTATGGATGTTTCATCAGCAACCTTACCCTCCATCGCTAATCGTCTATACCCAGAATGCACTTACAGTCGTGAGGTACTAAGGTCGTTGGAGAAGTTGGAGAAGGATGTTGCTCAACAAGGTCGCTTTCGTGTACCTCTCCCTCTTTAATCGAACGTTGTTACTGTCAAACGTGGATCGAACTAAATGATCGATTTAGAGTTGTTTGTTCATGTAGGTGATTCAGAACTATTCGATTACTAATCGAGAAGATTGTATGTTATTCTCAATATTTTTTCCATTGAATCGGTCGATGACCGAGTTGTTTGTAAGATATTCGCCCACTAGGAGACTAATTTTCATTATTTCTCAAGAAGTTATGAGGCTATGAACTCAAATGAACAACAAATCAAGATTTGAATAAGTACCTACTCAATAATAATTTGAATAATTCGCATACGAATTTCTTCACAAACTGTAGCCTGTGAATGAGCGTTGATCAATGGTAGGAATTTATTTGAAAAAAACACTTGGATTTGTAATTTTGCAGTCTTCAAATTGAAAAAAGTCTAACACACCTGCTCCCATCTTTTGTGCCCAACAGCTGCGGTCGGGATTTCGATTTAATTTACCCTACCACACATCTTATGGAAAGAACGTTACCATTTTGAGTCAACTCTTATTTCCAACTTATTTAAACCCAACTGTTTTAAGCTACAAGATAGCTCCGTGATACATTTTGATGTTACCTAATCGTTTATTTTTAAAGTAATAATATTGGAAACATTAATAATACTAAATACCATTGGAGTCAATAAACTGGAAGGACCTGTTTTGTACAAGGACAGGAAAATCACAAACAAATCAACGTTGCGTCATTTTAAAGCCTAAATTGTTTTTAAAGCAACTAGCATGTGTGGTTGAATATTTTTAAAATGTAACGCCCGTATTCGCAAACATTACTATGATGTCTCGCAGTGCGCGCACACAACGTGACACACGAACCAATCACAGAGATTTATTCAACGCTGTGCATTCGATTTGCTGCTTCACTTAAGCAAGCATCGTCGAGACATAGACTAGGTATCACTGATCTGAACAAATTACAAAAGCCGACATGGCCGGCGGCTAGCGACAAAAGCATAAAAAAATCTACAAAGAAAGAATGCCAAAGCGAAATTCTTTGTTGCGGTTACGTCTGAATTAAAATACTTGGAAGCATGAACGCTTGACTGGACATAATCTAGCGCTTAACGGCAAGAATGCGCGTGCGACTATTGCGATAGCAACAGCCAACAATGCACTAGCAGTGTTATGGCTGGTTAAAATTCTTTTACTACATCAATGTGCAGTTTATAGCACGTTTTTTTTGCAAAATAGCCCATAATACAACTGCATAAATGCTACAGTGTTAACCTTGATTCAAAGATTATGTGCCGTCGGCTGTACTTTTTATGGGAGGTAACATGATCCAACCTTTCTTAGTGCATTGTGAGTGCTTTTCTTTTGTTATAAAAGGGCTCACGCAAAGTTCAAAAACATACTTACTACACTTTACGGAAAAATGTTCAGTTATTATTGTGTGTACATACCAACCTTTGTTAGGGCATTTTTTACTTCTAACACATTTTTATGAAACACTAGCGGCCGCCCGCGACTTCGTACGCGTGGATCCTGTTTTACCCCCTTCATCTAGATATCGATTTTAACTCCCGTTCCCGTAGGAATTGTGCAATATCCTGTTGTAACTCTATGCTTTAAGTTTACTAAGGTACCTGCATGCCAAATTTCAAGCGTCTAACATAAGCGGTTTAGATTTTTCATACAAAAGGATTTTCCCGCTAATTCACGTTCCCGTAGGAATTTCGGGAATTCCTTGTTGTAACTAAGCTTTAAGTTTACTAAGGACCTACATGCCAAATTTCAAGCGTCTAACTGAAGCGGTTTAGATTTTTCATACAAAAGGATTTTCCCGCTAATTCCTGTTCCTGTGGGAATTCCTAAGTATACTATAACCTGCCCAGGAGTATGAAGAATAATTGTACCAAGTTTCGTTAAAATCTGTCAAGTAGTTTTTGTTTCTATAAGGAACATACAGACGGACAGACAGACAGACAAAAATTTTACTGATTGCATTTTTGGCATCTTTATCGTTCACTAATCACCCCCTGATAGTTATTTGTAAAATATATTTCATGTACAGAATTGACCTCTCTACAGATTTATTATAAGTATAGATTTCTACCAGGTAGGAGTCTACCAGGTGTAAGTTAGGTAGGTAGGTATCGATACACACAGTTGATGATTTGATACTATCATTCAATATAAGATTTCTTCAATTATTTTTATTTTATGCCATTAGAAACCTAATTTGTAAAGCAACTGTTTTGACTGTTTTATTGTTTATTAAATATGTAGTCCTTTCAGGTCAAAAATATGTTATTAGAAGTTCTGCCTTAGAATTATTGACAAATATTGGTCAACTATCCAATAAATAAGGTGTTATTTTAGGCGACATTTATACTTAAACGTCGATATTGATACCAAACAGCAATTAATCCGTCTAAATTATTACTATCGCCGTCGCCCGGCCCTCCAACTCGATAAACAACGTACAATGTCCTTATAAACAACTTAAGGAACACAAATTCCAAACGCAATACTTTCTCCACTAACCTATGGCCTGAGATAACTAGAGAGAGAAAGCTGCTCTAATTGATTCCTTGTCTTGCCCTGATAAAGGACAACCAGTATCGAAATGAACGCGGCGGTAAATGGAACTTCTGTGCTTATTATGAGAAAACTTTAATTTTTGACAGATTTGTTTGCCAGTGGCGCCCTCGTTCGCGTTGCAGCGATTTTTTACTTTTTTATTTTTTTCGTGAGTTCTGAATTCATTTTTTTTTATTTGTGATCATGTACATTTGGATGAGCAAAGTGCCGTGTCTAAAAGTGCCAGTTTACATACTGTGCGGTTCTAGAGTGAAGTATTTATTTTTATAGTATTTCCTCATTTTAGTGATGTTTATGTCTATTTTTAACCTTAAACAACTTTACTATTGTTTTGATCCGTGTCAAAGTCTATGCCTATACAAAAAATAACCTTAGTTTCTCAATAGTTTTTATTTGACACATGCATTTTTTGTTCTGCCTAAATAATTAGGTATAATTAACTATACAGCGTTTTAGTTTAAAAAAATGTTGTTTATTTATTAATTAGTTTATTGATAACATTCAACTCTATGGTTTAACCGGTCGTGTCCAAAGAATGCCATGGGAGTTGTTGACATAAGCCGATTTCACTTTTTACCGCGTCTGCTCTCCTCTTAGGGACGGCGTACACTTGCGACAATGTAAACATTCCTTTCACCTCGTACAAGATTCATTAAATGGTTAACTTCCTACTTTTAAGCGGTATTAGGAATTTTTGACAAAATAAATATCCGGCTTTATTATAAACTTTTACTTTAGTTCATAGGTAACCGTTAGTTATGTAATTTTCACTGCGAATGTTTCTATTAAAAACAGTTGTTTAAACAATATGTACCTATGCGTCATTCAATAAACGGAATTTGTAAATTAATTTTTAATTGTATTTGCAACAAGAAATAAATTCAGTTGGAACTAGAATATTATTTACGGACAATACGGGCATACATTCTCTGTACCGACGTGGGCACATCAAGCTAAACGCTATGATATCTTTTGCAGCTGTAATAGTTGCTGTCAACTGTGACTGTCAGAAACAATCATAATACAGTCGACTGTACACCCGAGAAAATCAATCAGTATCAGAAATGCTAATGCAGTATTGTCACAAGAGCGAACAAATATCAGAAACTAGCAGCCGCCCGCGACTTCGTACGTGTGTATCCCGTTTTACCCCCTTAGGGCTGGAGTTTCGTAAAATCCGATCTTAGTGAGCACTTATGTTCTAAAAGGAACCCCCATGCAACTTTTGAGACACCTACCACTTGTAGTTTCTGAGATTTCGTGATGAGTGAGTGAGTCAGTCAGTCAGTCAATCAGTTTGTCTTGTTTTATGCAAGACAAGGCAGGTATTTGACCGCAATCGCACCTGGTGTTAAGTGAGATGCAGTCTAGGATGGTACATATCTGCCCTGTCCTGCAACCTTTCTCTTTTATAAATATAGATGCTAACATCTGTTTTTCATTTGCCAGCAGGTGTTAACAAACGGCGAGATGAGCGAGCGCGAGCGGTACCGCGCGCCGCCGCCGCCGGAGCCGCCGCCGCACCGCGTGCGCGCCGCTGATCTCTACCCGCGCCTGCGCACCCAGTACGACGAGCCCGGCTTGGACGCCGGATTCACGCCGATATGCGGCGAGTTCCTGCAGGTAATTAACAAATCAACCTATAATGTCGGCTGTAGCACTGTTGTCCGTAGCACTCAGCAAAGCCGTAGCTGTAGCACTGTTGTGATGCACAATAATTATAGCAGTTTTAGAGCGTCTTATACGACTAACTAAAGCGAGTTCTTAGCACTAAAGAGATCGTAGCGACTACACGACTACAGTAGACGATGTAGCGATCGTAGCACTCACAAATGACGTAGCTGCTCCGACTACAAATGCTACAAAGCTCTCATCTCAGTCTGAAGACAGCTAATTAATTGTTCTATTAACACTCTCGTAGCACTCATAGCAAAGAAACAAAAGCTGTAGTTGCTCCACTACTCTCGCTCGTCAGATTGTCCCTTAGGTATTTTTTCTTGCTGTAGCTTTCGCAGCACTACAACGTTTATAGCATAGACTTATCTTCTGGAACAGTGTGATCTTAGACCTTGGTAGACATTTCTTCTTCGTAACTTACTAGGTATAATATTAAGCAAAGATCAAGCGACAAACATATCTAAATAAATGACCAGTTTGTACTGTAAATTATGGTAATTGATCATGAAGGGTTGCCCTACATTCTGTATCCCCATGTAGGTGTCAGGTGCTGTCAATAACTAAGTCTTAATGTGCTCGTGCCCCAGATCCAAGTTTCGCAGACACTTGTGAAGAGGTTAACTGGTATTTAGTAGTGGTTAGACGTTCACGTTGTTAGAAAATCCGCTATGTTTAAGAAATGTTACTAACACATCATAATATTATGCATGCATGCACCTATTCACTAATTTTCTTGTGGTATATATAAGGATGCACTGTCATTAAATACTTACTTACGTAACGAACAGGATATGTAAAGAACACTTCTGTCACTATTCTTCAATTTGTGACTAATATCTCTATTAGATTTGAACTTTATGACCCGAAAATACGGTCTGAAATCGACTGAAGAAAGCCAATTTGTGAAAAATACGGTTTGAAATCGACTGAAGAAAGTCAATTTGTGTCAGGTTCAAGTCTGATATAATAGAGCTATTCAAAATTCAAGACAATAAATTGTTGTGTTCTCTTTTTATTCGTCAAACTAGCTGTCCGCCCGCGGCTTCGCCCGCGTGGAATTTTTTCTGTCACAGAAAACCTTTATCGCGCGCGTCTTTGTTTCAAAAACCGGTATAAAAACTATCCTATGTCCTTTCCCAGGACTCAAACTATCTCTATGCCAAATTTCATTAAAATCGCTTCAGTGGTTTAGGTGTGAAAGCAAGACAGACAGACTTACTTTTGCATTTTTAATATTAGTATAGATAGATTATAATGCGCAAGCGCTACGTTCTCAGGGCCGTAACTCGTCGGTTCATAAAATGTTGTATAAAAAGTTACGACTTCCTTAGAAAAACATATGAATGGCAGTTACCACATTGAGACACTGTCTTAACCACTTAATAAGATTACAATGAGCAATTGTAACAGTTAGAAATTACTAAAACTAATTATCTTGTGTCTGTTGTTCAGTCACGTGGTCTTAAGTTAATTAGAAGTGACTTCTACTTCTAATTAGTGATATTGTATGTTTAAAAGGCCATCAGGTCGGATGCATCGGGGTGAATGCACTTCTGATATACGCTTTAACTATTGCAAGTAGATGCGGTAGGGTTTGGCGATGTGATAATTAATTATACAACGTGCATTAATGTCGTTGTCACTTCAAAGAGTCGTAAATATTAATAGCGACAGTATGTTATGAATTAAAACATTCTTAAATTGTAGGTGCGTCTTTCATTTGTAATTTAACAGTAAAAAGCCTACAAACTATGCTGTTATAAATTAAGCGCTTAAAATTATTCAGGTCATAACAAAAACCTACTTTTTGAATGCAGTTTCAATGAGATTCCTTTATGTCACCTGCCGTGTCGTGGCACGCGGTAACCAAGTGTGCGTGACGCTGATACTCATTTGTCTTGTGTTTATTATGTGACGTCAGAAGAAAAGTAAAGCATGCCTTTAAAGAATAAATATGAAACAACTAATAGTTAAGTGTCCGGTCTTGAAAAGGCACGATTAACCTCTTACTGAAAATATCTAATTTGAAAGAGTCTATTCTCATGCAAGATTTTCCACTTAGCACATTTATCTTAGCACGTCCAGAAACAAGAAGTTCTACTGCATACAGTTTAAAAACGCCTCAGATGCGTACGCGCAGACTGCATTGACCGGCGATACCGATTGGTCATGCTTGAGGAACGTACTACTGCGCACAAACTACTACTGTCATGCGTATGACATGACCTTTGACAATCAGTGACGTTGAAAGGGAATGAGTTTATGTCAAAGTTGACCAGTTTATAGTTCTTCTTATAGATAAAGTGTTATATCTCGATCAACAGTTGATAAATTACTGGCATGGAATGGTAGCGGGGAATCCTGCGGAATACAAAATAATAATTGTCAATGGCATGGAGCTAGGGAATCCCCGATTTTAATTACAAAAGAAAACGAGGATTAAAGAATGCTATGCAATGTGAGTCACGATAAAGTGTACATATGAAAATAGATGAAACTAGACCTATTTTTAACGACAAAAAAGAGGTCAAAATTTTTTTGAGTTTTTTTTTATTTTATTTTTTATAGAATTGTTTATCTTCCGGTTACTTATTGTAAAGAAAACGTAATAACTTTTAAACTAAGTGGTATATCCTGATAAAATAAAAACAGTAATAATGCTAAATAACAGGCGATACTAAAAAAATACATAAAATTACAGAAAATGCCAACAAATACATCTATATCCCCTTTGCAAACAATGTCTATCACCTTTTCACCTGTCAATACAACAATGATTTTCAAGATTTTTTATTTGAGAATAATGATTGTTTCCTCATATAAAAACTTTCACCATGCCCTATTTTCTTTTCTAAGATTATTTTTTTGTAACTAAAAGTCCCATTTATACAGTAAATAATACAGGCGATTTAGACGTAAAAACATCCAACGATACTGCCAATAATGCTATATTTGTAATTTTGTATGTGCGTAAATTTAAAAAAAAATGGTTTCCTTTAAATCCTCTTTTCCTTGTTGCAGTGGGTCGGAAGAATGGCGGACGGTGGCACTATAGCGATGTCAAACTACCGCCTACACATGCAGCCTCGTCGTCGAAACGGGCCCGGCTCGTCGGTGCCTCTCCGTCTCATAGACGGCGTCGAGATACGGGACCTGGTACACCTGGTCGTGTTGTGCAAACACGGCCGACAGCTAAAGTGAGTGGACTCATTTTACATCTAATACACCACAAACAGGTCATTTAGTCTCCACTGCAGAAGGATGACCCTCTCTAATTTACTTGAAGCAAGTGGACGATTTGGCATGTATTCCTCACGCTGACCAGGCCTGATGTTCGCATATTTATCCCTTAATAACCTCTAAAAACCACCGGGAAAAATGGGGGTGGTCCTATTATACTCGGCTGGAACCACACAGCTAACTGGCACTATCATATTTCTTATCTTATGATTATGGGTATCAATTTTACTGTAAAACAATACTTTGTTGTGGTGACAAATACAACACAGTATTTACGGCGTTTTGGCGTAAAGGGTCGGCCCTTACGTACGCAAACATAACAAAGGCGAGTCAAAAGATTTTACTGCTGTTTGTTTGATAACAAACCGCTAAATTTCGCGGCATTTACTCTATGTACGGATAGCCACCCAGTCTATACATATTTGGTGCAAAACAGAACCCAATTACAACTGCAGAAGAGCATACATCGTTAAGCTGATTTGCCGATGTGTACACGACTCAGTTAAAAATAAATCGAAGGTCGTTTTACAACATAACTTCTATTTTAGGATATAAAATACTAGAAGAAGTATTTACAATTATTAAGTTACAAATTCTTTATTTTGCATATTAACTTACGAGGTCAAGTTAGAATTGTATTTATTTTATTTGGAAGATATAAAGCGTTATCCAAGATGAAATGAATTAGGATCAAATACAGGACTGTTCCCACCTCCTTCGTTACCACCGCTGCAACTCCTGTATATCCAGGATCTATAGTTTAACAGTTTATAAAAACCCAACCAGTGAAGGTGAATTTGTCCCGGGGGAAAGTTAAACCACAGTTTAAACTGTCATTGGACTCGCAACGAAATTAATCACAAGAATGTAAGATCAAGTGACTTGACATATTGGGTGACAATATTGGGGAAAGTTTTTGGGAACATTTCTCACGTTAGCAATGACCTAGATATAAGTCCCTACTTATAATATCTAGGTCAGACCATACTTGTAAGGTTAGTGCTGTGACCGCATTGCGCGTCTAGCTAAAAAATGGCGGCATTTGGCACACCACCACAGCCAAAATTGGACTATAGTAATATTCCATTAGTCACTTTGGCCGGTCAAAGATGTTTAACTGTACATTTCAAGTCGATTGTGACTTTTTCATCATCATCATTTCAGCCACAGGACGTACACTGCTGAACATAGGCCTCCCCCAATGATTTCCACATCGCCCGGTTGGTAGCCTGCATCCAGCGCCTTTCTGCTACCTTTATGAGGTCGGTCCACCTTGTGGGTCCCACGCTGCGTTTTCCAGTACGTGGCCTCCACTCGAGAACCTTGCTGACCCATCAGCCGTCAGTTCTGCGTACTATGCCCTGCCCGCCCAATGCCACTTCAGCTTGCTAATCCGTCGGCCTATGTCAGCGACTTTAGTTCGTTTACTTTCGTGACGTTTTTATTACAATCCAACTGTGGGAAGTGGGTCAAATTCAACTTAAATACTTGATTACCCACATCCACACAGGTGGAGTCAAACAAAAGCTTGTAAAATAATAATCGTGTTTATACGAAGTGACCTAACGATAACTGCAGACCCGAATAAAGACAGATAAAGTCATAGCAACTGAAGAGAGTTGCTTAAAATTTTCCTTTTAAAAACATGATAACTCGTTATTGGGGACTCGGGCGATTAGTGACGTCATAAATAACACATAATAATACTGATTGTAGATCTTCATTTATGTGTGTCATCAATTATGCTTTGTAATCAAAGTAAATAATTGACCTAAACTTGTAAATTCACAATTGTCGTACGAATCAGAAATGAGAAAATTCATAAGTCGCTGACATAGCCCGACGGATTAGCAAGCTAAAGTGGAAATATGCAGAGCACATAGCATGCAGAACTGATGTCTGATGGGGCAACAAGGTTGGTTCTGGGATGAAGGCCACGTAGCAGGCACAGCGTAGGATGACCACCCACAAGATGGACAGACGACCTCATAAAGGTAGCAGGAAGGCGCTAAATACAGCCTGCTACTAACCAGCCAATCTGGAAATCATTGGGAGACGCCTATGTTCAGCAGTGGACGTCCTGAAGCTGTAATGATGATGATGATGAATCTCTAACTTATAATATTGATATTCGGCCGTTTGGTGTAGTGGTTCTAAACGGACTACTATTCCGGAGGTTGCGGGTTCGGTTCCCGCACAGTACAAACATTTGTGTGCATGAACATATTTGTTTGTATTGGACTGTGTGTTTTCTATGTATAATATGTGTGTATTTAAAAAAAAAGTATTTAAGTATGTTTATATCCGTTGTCTAGTACCCATAGTACAAGCTTTGCTTAGTTTGGGACTAGAAGCGCAGTGTAACATGTCCAAGGATATTTATTTATTAATTATTTTATTTATTTATAATAATGCTACCCTGCATCAGATGTGATTGTAGTCAAATACCTGCGTTGTTTTGCATAGAAAAAATGGTTTATTCATGACTAATTTATATTTAATTGTATCTTCGTTACCAGGACATCATTCAACACAGGAGATCAGTGCATGGAATGGTGGCGAAGACTGAACACGGCGATGGCGCCGATCGGCTCGGTTCAAGAAACGTTCGCCGCCGCATACGCCGCGTGGGCTAAGGAGCAGCCGCCCGCGTCCGTACACCGGGCGCTTATGAAAGCGTCGCACGCGCCGAACAAACACTGGTTTGGGCCTGAAGTGAGTAACGAATCTATTAGTTGTCACTCTTCATCGGTCATTTACGCCCGTATTCACAACAAACGATATTTGCAAATCGAACGCACAGCATTGAATAGACCCCTGTGATTGATTCACGTGTCACTCTGTGCGTCCACGCGCACTGTGAGACCTCATAATAATGTTTGTGAATACGTACGTTAATCACAAGAGCACGGGTCCACGCCTAATTTACCAGAGGGAAATAGAGAATTTGGTTTATTCAAATTTTATATGAACAGGTAGGGAGGCTATCTTCATTTATCCCAAAAATATCCAAAAAGGACTTGTGGGTTTCCGAATACCATGCTATTTATTATGCATAACAAGGCAGGATTTGACCACAATCGCACCTGATGTTAAGTAGGATACAGTCTATTTATCCTGATTGTAACATTATTGTGTTATGCTTCTGTAATATTTCAGCAGTTTTAAGTCGACTCGAATCGTTTGTTGTCAACCTCGACTTAAGCCTGCTCAGATGTTTTAGAAAGAAAAATAAATAAATAAATTCTTCTCCATAGTCATATCCTTCGTTTCAGCCACTTGACGTCCACTGCTGGACAAAGGCCTCCTCGAAGGTTTTCCACAACCTCCATCCTCCTCCATCATTGTTTATTAAAATATGCTTGATTGATTTTTATGTGAACTCTGCTAATAAAACGTAGTTCAATTAGGTTCTTAACCCCTGAGACATATATTTAGCTTACCTGAAGTGGAATATGTAATGTAATTTGGTAACTTATTAACATCTTCCAGGTGGAGCGCCTAGGTTTCACAACCAAAGGCGCGTGGCGGGTGACCGCTGCGAACGCTGAGTACAAGCTGTGCCCATCCTACCCACCCCTGCTCGTCGTGCCGGCGACCATCGGAGACGAGGACCTGGACTCCGTAGCGAGGTGAGGACGCCAGAGGCCAAGAATAGCTGGTCCAGATGACGCGTTTTACCTATGAAAACGCGCGACTGCATTTGGACAGAATCTATGAATCTCTAGTACCTCACGATCGCGCGATTAGAAACGCGGTATCTAGACTAGCTGTAACTGGATGCGTGTAGTAGTGTGCTGGATTATGAGGGGGTCGAAGCGTTAAGTTCCAAATAGTAACATTCCTTCACATACTAAATACAAGCTGTTCGTCTTACCCTGCTGGTCGTGCCGGCGACCATCGGAGACGAGGACCTGGACTCCGTAGCGAGGTGAGGACGCCAGAGGCCAAGAATAGCTGGTTCATATGACGCGTTTTACCTATGAAAACGCGCGACTGCATTTGGACAGAATCTATGAATCTCTAGTACCTCACGATCGTGCGATTAAAAACGCGGTATCTAGACTAGCTGTAACTGGATGCGTGTAGTGGTGAGCTGAATTATAAGGGGGTCGAAGCGTTAAGTTCCAAATAGTAACATTCCTTCACATACTAAATACAAGCTGTTCGTCTTACCCACCCCTGCTGGTCGTGCCGGCGACCATCGGAGACGAGGACCTGGACTCCGTAGCGAGGTGAGGACGCCAGAGGCCAAGAATAGCTGGTTCATATGACGCGTTTTATCTATGAAAACGCGCGACTGCATTTGGACAGGATATATGAATCCCTAGTACCTCACGATCGCGCGATTAAAAACGCGGTATCTAGACTAGCTGTAGATAACTGGATGCGTGTAGTGGTGAGCTGAATTATAAGGGGGTTGAAGCGTTAAGTTCCTAATAGTAACATTCCTTCACATACTAAATACAAGCTGTTCCCGTCTTACCCACCCCTGCTGGTCGTACCGGCGACCATCGGAGACGAGGACCTGGACTCCGTAGCGAGGTAAGGACGCCAGAGGTCAAGAATAGCTGGTCCAGATGACGCGTTTTACCTATGAAAACGCGCGACTGCATTTGGACAGAATCTATGAATCTCTAGTACCTCACGATCGCGCGATTAAAAACGCGGTATCTAGACTAGCTGTAACTGGATGCGTGTAGTAGTGTGCTGGATTATGAGGTTGTCGAAGCGTTAAGTTCCAAATAGTAACATTCCTTCACATACTGAGTACAAGCTGTTACCTTTAGGTTTGGATCTAGAGACGGATTTATGTTACCTGAACGAAACGACAAACGCGCTAACGCGACGCGACCCGATTCGAGAGTATCAAATATTCTTAGTTGTTGTATAGAAGTAGTCTACACAGTCGCGAGTCTCATTCTAGATCGAGATCATTGGGGGAGGCCTATTTTCAGCAGTGGACGTCCTATGGCTGACATGATGATGATGATGTCATAGTCGCGTGTCATGAGATGTGTTTACTACTGTGTAAATAGCTGTGGCAAGTCAACTTCTGCAAGTTTTATTGTAACCCTAAACCTCGCTTAAGGTTTTGTACTTAGGAAATAAGAATTATAATGTTAATCTATTAACCATATCTAAGCATGTAGTATCCACGCTTTAAAACCATCATATCTAAGCATGTTCTAAGCATGCTATGACACTGCTAAACCCACAAACAAACTATCAGTGGCGCACAGCGTGTTTGTTACGCACCGTTTACACTCACTGATAACGTGTCAAAGATCACGACCTTTAGCTTGGCTTAACATCAATGTGACTTCCACTTTAATGCCTTTGCACTGTTGCAAATATTGACGTATGCAACTGATAATAAAATTATAAGCGAAGATAATATTTTAACCTTTCAAAATCAATTTTCGGAATCAGATTATTTAAAAATACTTTTTCTGATAACCGCATCAAAATCGGTTCAGCCGCTAGATAATTCACTCTTAAAAGGAATATATTTATCTAGGGTGTTAACGGGACTATTAGAAAGAGTGTACTACAAATTACGAAATCTATTAAGTTTCAAGCAATAAAATAAATAAATACCATACAAAGCTAAAAAAAAGTCATACACTATCCGATTGTGAATTGAATGCCAATTGCATTAATCAATCGGTAAACTATGAGCAATCGATTGTGTATTCGCTAAACGTCATATGCAGCTGGCCATCTAAAGAATGCACGGTTGATTATAAAAATATTGCTGTTGCCACTTATTTCAATGAGTTAGAGTCTAAAGTTAAAAAACGTATATGGAACCGCATATAATTTATTAATAATTTGATGGATTCTTGAATTGTGTTTGAAAATCGGGAAATTCCTATGAGTACATCGTTAAATGGAACATTTGGTTGAAAAATGACGATTCAACGATACTAATTTATTGTATTCTCTTTGAAATAAGTTATTATTGTCTGTTCTAAATGGAACTAAAAACATTGACGTAGAACAGAAGATTATTGGCCTATTACGAATACAAAAAAGTAGAACTCACGTTGAACATTGGTTTAAAATGACATTTCCATACTAAATGACAATTTGAACAAGTGTTCAATGGGCGTTTAACTTTTAGTAATAAGCCCCTAGTCTAGAAAGATATGGCTCCAAATGGTTCGTGTAATATTACACACGGTGCTGCTCGCCAGTTCTGTTACTTGGACTTGGCTTGACACGCTACCGCGGATTATTTAGCAAAACTTATAAATGTGTCTCTGTCCTTATTATTTTGCGCCAAAATGTGTTTTTAAAGATAGATAATTTCTTTTCTCAGATTCCGCGCGATGCGGCGCATACCAGCAGTGGTATGGCGACATCGCGGCAACGGAGCGGTGATCGCTCGGTCGTCGCAGCCCGAGGTGGGCTGGCTGGGCTGGCGCTCCAGCGAGGATGAAAGGTTGCTGACTGCCTTCGTGCAGGCTTGCAACGCGGACCGGGGCTTGCAGCCGCCTTCTACTGCTAACAAGGTATGCGAGCCTGGTACTGTCTATCGTGGGAGTAATTACATAGCACAGTCCTAGGTAGCTTGAATTGAGATCCAGGGGAGATGAGAGGCTGCTGTCTTCGTCTGGCCTGCAACGCAGACCGGGGATTGCAGCCGCCTTCTACTACTAATGAGGTATGCGAGCCTGGTACTTCTACTGATACCAGTGATCGGTGATCGCTCGGTCGTCGCAGCCCGAGGTGGGCTGGCTGGGCTGGCGCTCCAGAGAGGACGAGTGACTGCTATCACTCGTCCTCTGCGTCCGGGACTTGCAGCCGCCTTCTACTGCTAACAAGGTATGCGAGCCTGGTACTTCTGCCTTGATTAGGACCGATGGTACTTGACTTATTTCTTGGTAACTGATAAAACTCGAGAGAGAATGAAAAGCTATCGTCCAATCTGGTAATGTAGACCGGGGATTGCAGCCGCCTTCTACTACTAATGAGGTATTCGAGCCTGGTACTTCTACTGATACCAGTGATCGGTGATCGCTCGGTCGTCGCAGCCCGAGGTGGGCTGGCTGGGCTGGCGCTCCAGCGAGGATGAAAGGTTGCTGACTGCCTTCGTGCAAGCTTGCAACGCGGACCGGGGCTTGCAGCCGCCTTCTACCGCTAACAAGGTATGCGCGCCTGGTAATTCTTAGTGGGCCATGAGTAACTAAGATGGCTGGTCTGGCGTTCCAGTAAGGACGAGCGGCTGCTGACTGCCTTCGTGCAGGCTTGCAACGCGGACCGGGGCTTGCAGCCGCCTTCTACTGCTAACAAGGTATGCGCGCCTAGTACTTCTATCGTGGGAGTAATAGCATAGCACAGTCCTAGGTAGCTTGAATTGAGATCCAGGGGAGATGACCGGCCTGCAATGCAGACTGGGGATTGCAGCCGCCTTCTACCGCTAACAAGGTATGCGAGCCTGGTACTTTTAGCTCGATCCTTGTGCTATTCTCGACTAAACTTTTGGCGACTTTTAATAGGCTACTGCTGTCCAACTTTCTACTGCTAATGAGTTATGAACACCTGTTACTTCATATTTAAGCTATGACTGTGATGACTATGATTGACGTATATTGCATACGCCAAAAGGGCTTATTAATGCTAAACAAATATTGCCAAATAAAATTATTTTCTTCCTTTCTTTCTTCTTCACCAGAACTTCCCTAGCTCTTAATAGTGGACACTCGCGGTGATCACGTTAAACTCTGGTGCCTTATGTAGTTGTAATGTGTGCTTTTTTGTACTTAGTCTTTTGGTTCACTTTCCTCTATAAGTTTCGTCTTTTGTCCCCAGAACCTCAAGCTCCTAATAGTGGACGCTCGCTCCTACGCGTCCGCCGTCACCAACCGCGCTCGAGGCGGCGGCTGCGAATGCCAACAGTACTACCCGATGGCGGACATCCAATTCATGTCGCTGCCCAACATCCACCACGTCAGGAGAAGCTTCCAGCAGATGCGGGCTTTAGCAGCAGAGCCTAGCGACCAGGCCAAGTTAGTATCAACACCGCTCCAGGTTTATGCGCTCCTGGTACCTCCAACAGTTGACATTAGGTTAGAAGGGTGCGGCAGATGTCTTCAAAGGTGACGGGAGATGTCTTAAAATGTGACGTCACTTATACAGAGCCACTGCTTTTACTGTGAATCTTGGCTGCTCACCGGTCGCTGCAAGTTCACAGTACTACCCGATGACAGACCTCCAGTTCATGTCGCTGCCCAACATCCACCACGTCAGGAGAAGCTTCCAGCAGATGCAGCTTTAGCAGCAGAGCCTAGCGACCAGGCCAAGTTAGTATCACCACCGCTCCAGGTTTATGCGCTCCTGGTAGCTCCCACAGTTGACATTAGGTTAGAAGGGTGCGGCAGATGTCTTCAAAGGTGACGGGAGATGTCTTCAAATGTGACGTCATTTATACAGAGCCACTGCTTTAGCTGTGGATCTTGGCCGCTCACCGGTCGCTGCAAGTTCACAGTACTACCCGATGGCGGACATCCAGTTCATGTCGCTGCCCAACATCCACCACGTCAGGAGAAGCTTCCAGCAGATGCCACTTGCTAACAGCTATCCTACGAACATTTCTGAGCTCTTGCTGGACGTCGATACCAGGCAAATGACGATTTCGTAGAGAAGTTGACATGAAAAAACGGTTTTCCCTCTGCGATGTGCACCGGCAATGTTCAGAACTTGGTCTCGGGATAAAGCCACAAGTCTCCCGAAAGCGTCTTAAAACTTTCGAAACCCAGGACTGGCTTATGTGGAGCTGACGTGCGACAGCCCGCTGGCTGAGCCCTTCTTGCAATAGTGCAACGATTTGTGCTGCTTCTGAAGGTGTACAATCCCAGGTAAAGTGTCAAAAGAAGCGGAGATGTGTATGGATCAACGTGTGAAAGCAAAAATCCGAAAACACTTGCTTTTATGGGGGGTAAATAGGCCGCAACTCGCGACGTATCAAACAGTTGATACATGTCTTTTTCCTTATTTCTTCACATCAGCCGGAATATCTTTTTAAATACTGGTGTGATTTAAATGAATTTGGTATCAATTTAAAGTTAAAAGTTTAATCTTTAAAATGGTGCTACTTTTTTTGTTACTAACAAATTGGTTAGTACACAAGATCGCGTGGAAACAAGTTCATGTAAGTGATTCCATACTTTTGCTCGCCAGTGTAGCTTTAGCTAGAAGATACATGGTACTTTAGTTCAATACCATAGTCATAGACTATACTCTACTCATTCACATTGCATTACAATAATTGTTTTTATTGATATGACTAAAGAAGCATGTTCTTGTATGAGTTATTAAATTATCTAAAATCGTAGAAGAAAAACCGAAATAACCGAAAAACCCGGTTTTATAACTGACAAAAACCGAGTTCCAAATTGTGTCGGTTATCCGGTTTTTCGGTTATCCGGTTAACCGGTTTGCATGCCCTAATCACCACCGCTCCAGGTTTATGCGCTCCTGGTTGCTCCCACAGTTGACATTAGGTTAGAAGGGTGCGGCAGATGTCTTCAAAGGTGACGGGAGATGTCTTCAAATGTGACGTCACTTATACAGAGCCACTGCTTTTGCTGTGGATCTTGGCTGCTCACCGGTCGCTGCAAGTATTGTAAAAGCAGTACTACCCGATGGCGGACATCCAGTTCATGTCGCTGCCCAACATCCACCACGTCAGGAGAAGCTTCCAGCAGATGCGGGCCCTAGCAGCAGAGCCGAGCGACCAGGCCAAGTTAGTATGCCTTGCTACAGACAGACCGCTGCAGCTTTATGTGCTTCTGGTACCTGACATACATTGGGACCGGAGGGTTTTAGGGTTTAGGTAGGCCCCACCCTAAAGACGGAGAGAGTTCTATATTACCCACTGGCCGTTAGTATTTTCTGACGGGAAAGATAGCCTTTTCAATATCATGCTTAAAGTCAAGCTGGACAAGAATTATAGCTGAACCAAAGGTCGGAATAGGCCCGTGTAACTTTAAGGACCGCTGCAGGTTTATGCGCTCCTGGTACCTACTTCCCACAGTTGGCAGTAGGTTAGAAGAGTGCGGCACATGTCTTCAAAGGTGACGTCACTCAGAAAGGCCTATTGCTTTTGCTGTAGATCTTGACCCCTCACCAGACGCTGTATTAGGCCCGTATAACTGTAAGCATTTAACAGCAATACTACCCGATGGCGAACATTCAGTTCATGTCGCTGCCCAATATCCACCACGTCAGGAGAAGCTTTCAGCAGATGCGAGCGCTGGCAGCCGAGCCGAGCGACCAGGCCAAGTTAGTCTTAGTATTAGATTCGCTTTTGTTTGTTATTCAACAGCTACTGGATGCCCGCTACAGACCGCTGCAGGTTTATGCTCTCCTGGTACCTCCCACACATTAGATCCGGGGGGTTTTAGGTAGGCTCCGCCCTTCTGGTGGGGAGAGTCGTTCATTACCCACTGGCAGTGCCTATTGGCATCTTCCGACGGAAGGAAATGGCCTTTCTTATTATCATGCTCAAGGTCAAGCTGTAGATCAACACCTAACTAAGCTGATACAGCTGCTGCTGGATGCTCGATACAGACTGCTGCAGGTTCATGCGCTCCTGGTACCTACCTCCAACAGTTGACATTAGCTTAGGAGGGTGCGGCAGATGTCTTCAAAGGTGACGTCACTCAGAAAGGCCTACTGCTTTTGCTGTAGATCTTGGCCCCTCACCAGACACTGCGAGTATGAGGACCTATGCACATAGTGTTCTGTGCGACGACACACGAAAGACGTTTATGTATGAACAAAGCTCGTTTTAAAAACCACGTGATCACACTAGTTCTCATCCTGCCCATCCCTGTTTATCTTTGCGTTGTTAGATAGAGATACCGAGATTTATTGAATTTCTCAAGAGATACTTATACTAATTCTTTTTTGTTTCCAGCTGGCATAGCAACCTGGAACGCACGTTATGGCCGCAATACGTAGCAGGCGTATTACGCGCGGCCGGCGTGGTCGCACGCGCGGTACTAGGCGGACGGCCGGCGTTAGTACACTGTTCAGACGGCTGGGACCGCACGCCGCAGATCGTGGCCGCCGCCCAACTGGTGCTGGACGCTCGCTATAGGACCCTACAGGTTTGTGCGCTCCTGGTACTTGCCAAGCTACAATAGTGACGTCACTTAGCTCGTGCGTTGTTCAGACGGCTGGGACCGCACGCCGCAGATCGTGGCCGCCGCCCAACTGGTGCTGGACGCTCGCTATAGGACCCTACAGGTTTGTGAGCTCCTGGTACCTTCACAGCTGTTATTAGACCATTAGAAAGTGGCAGACTACAATAGTGACGTCAGATGCTAGGCGGCCGGCCGGCGTTAGTACACTGTTCAGACGGCTGGGACCGCACGCCGCAGATCGTGGCCGCCGCCCAACTGGTGCTGGACGCTAGCTATAGGACCCTACAGGTTTGTGAGCTCCTGGTACCTTCACAGCTGGTATTAGACCATCAGAAAGTGGCAGACTACAATAGTGACGTCAGATGTTAGGCGGGCGGCCGGCGTTAGTACACTGTTCAGACGGCTGGGACCGCACGCCGCAGATCGTGGCCGCCGCCCAACTGGTGCTGGACGCTCGCTATAGGACCCTACAGGTTTGTGAGCTCCTGGTACCTTCACAGCTGTTATTAGACCATCAGAAAGTGGCAGACTACAATAGTGACGTCAGATATTAGGCGGCCGGCCGGCGTTAGTACACTGTTCAGACGGCTGGGACCTCATGCCGCAGATCGTGGCCGCCGCCCAACTGGTGCTGGACGCTCGCTATAGGACCCTACAGGTTTGTGCTCTCCTGGTACCTTTACAGCTGGTATTAGACCATCAGAAAGTGGCAGACTACAATAATGACGTCAGATGTTAGGCGGCGGCCGGCGCTGGTACACTGTTCAGACGGCTGGGACCGCACGCCGCAGATCGTGGCCGCCGCCCAACTGGTGCTGGACGCTCGCTATAGGACCCTACAGGTTTGTGCGCTCCTGGTACTTCCCCAAGTTGAAGCTAGGGCAGCAGAGGTGACGGCTGTGAGCACAGATCGTGATCACCGTACGCTAATCGCACGCTGCGGGTCTATGCGCTCCTGGTACCATCTATAGCTGGCATTATACCACCAGAGGGTGTCAGACAGCCACAATAGTGACGTCATTCAGCCTTACGTGGCGCGCGCGGTACTAGGCGGCCGGCCGGCGTTAGTACACTGTTCAGACGGCTGGGACCGCACGTCGCAGATCGTGGCCGCCGCCCAACTGGTGCTGGACGCTCGCTATAGGACCCTACAGGTTTGTGCGCTCCTGGTACCTCTCGAAGTCAACACTAGGGCAGCTAAAGGCGGGAGACATTTATAATGGTGATTTCGCTCAGCCACTATGCGCGCCTGGTAGCTGGTAGGGTGGCCGACAGCTATAATGGTGACGTCACTCATCCCAGCGTGTCAGTCTGCCGTGCTGCATGCGGCTGATTTTAGTTACCTGATTGCTTATTTTATTTNAAGTTCGGAAGGACGCCCGTGCGCAACAGCGGTGTGTTCTTTAATTCGGCAACCACATAAGCGTTTGTCAATTTCCAAAATCAAGTGAATCTAATGAGTGCGGGATCCAGCCCCTATGGAACTATGGTCTTTTTCATCAATATGTGCTAATACTTCACAAGCAAACTGCATTTCGGAGATACGCCGGGCCCGGCTGAGCACGCGGCTGGCACTGTGGAGCGGAGGTTTGTTCGCCGTTTGTTTGAAAATTTTGTATAGCTAACAGCATAATTAGTGGTCACTTTAATTGTGCGGAATCAATAATTCACCAAAACGATCTAAACCTGCCTATTTTAGATGACAGCAAACTTTTTGTCAACCGATAGTTTAGTGCAATGAACCAGTATGAACTTGTATAAAAGTGTGCACATATTACACCGATTTGGTATCCGCCGATAACCTTTACAAATTAGAATCCGACTATACTATCGGCCGACTAAAAGTATGTAGTCTATGAGGAGTCTAACTATCGCAGAAGGTATTAGTTTATGTATAACCCTCAAACAAAGTTCAAAGTTTCTTCGAACTCTTCCTGTGGGTCTAGACAAAGTGCAAATTATAATCGCAAACCAGTCGAAAAGTGGTCGAAAAGCCCCTTTTTTGTATGGAGTTTTGACGGATTCGATTTTCGATTCGATCAAAAAGTGCGTGTTGTCTAAGGGGGCTGTATTCTTCTTATTAATTTCGTTGCTGGTCCAATGACAGTTCAACTGTCCTCCGGGACAAACTTAACCTTCACTCGTTGGGTTTTTATTGGCGGTCAAGTTGTAGATCCTGGCTACACAGGAGTTGCAGTGGTGGGAATAGTCTCGTAAACTTTAAAGTAAAGCTTTCAAAAACAAATATAGTCTCGTGCTATCCATACCCCAATACAAACACAAACCCTTTAAATGAAATGGCAACTGGGCTGGAAAAATCTGACAGCAGCGGCTGACGTGATAAAATATATCTACATGGACTCGATTATTTTAATCCATCAGACATTTTTCTGCATCTGACAATTGAGGGGAAATTGTCTGGAAATGCACACGTTGTGAACACTCTTTTGTGGTTTGTTTTGTTGGAATACAGGTAAGGGATATCACAATATTTGGATTTATGTTGGGATTTAAATTATGGATTACTAGCTTTCGTGTAATTTTGTCTGTCACAGAAAAACTGGGATAAAAACTATCCTATGTCCTTTCCCGGGACTCAAACTATCTCTATGCCAAACATCAATTTCGATTCAGTGGTTTAGGCGTGAAAGCAAGACAGACAGAGTTATTTTCGCATTTATAATATTAGTATAAATTACAATATTAGATGCAATACATAGTTTCTTATTTCCAAATAGTATATAGGGTAGTTAAAATGGACTGATTTTGTTGAGAGTTTTGCTGGACAAATGCCTCCCCCAAGGATTTCCATAATGACCATTTCTGCGCTGTCCGCACAAGATCGACCTTTACTAGATCGTCGGTTCACCTAGCGGGAGGCCTGCACACACGGCCGGGGAGAATTTTTCTGCCCCAGTGGCCATCAGCTCTGAGAGCTATGTCCTGCCCACTGCCACTTGATTTTAGCAATTCTGCGGGCTATATACACTCGACAGCAAATAAATCGCACCACCCGCAACGCGAACTTTAAAGATTTTCTTTTGACACAATAATGGTGCCCCAACAATATTGGTGTTATTTGAAAGCCCAATAAATATCCTTAAAGAAAAACACATTTAATTTCTTAATAAATGATTAACATATACCATAAATGTGACTTGAAAAAAGACCTCACTTTGGGCTCACCTCTGGGATCAATTAGACCAAAATTTTATGGTTATAAAACCAAATAATGATCACACGTGTCCTCTTTAACAGATGGATAGCGATTAATCCCAACTTGACAGTTTTATAGTCATAAAAAATGGCTATAGCGTAACTACCTATTTTTTGAAGAAGTGACTCTGGATCCTTGTAAAGACACATTTTTGGGGTAAAAACCTTTCCTTTAATAAAATGAAGTTTAGAACTAGGCTTTTAAATGGTGCCAATATTGATGGGAAGTAGGGATGCATACGTTTGAAAATGCTTGTCGTGGGTGGTGCGATTTATTTGCTGTCGAGTGTATGAATGTTATGGAACTACAAACTTATAGTCGGATTTTTTTCTCTTGATAAGTATTACTATTACCTTCCTCCACTGTGCCAAGGTGTCGCCGATATAAAATTAATATTTCAGATATGTAATTAACGAATATAGTTCCACCCGCGGGTGTGAACAAATTGGGCGGAATGTCACGTGATGCGTGATTCTCTTTAATTATGATGTTTTAATTAATATTTTTGTAATTAATTTACTAACAAAACAAGTCTCTTGGGAGAGTTACTGTAATGGTTGGGGGAAATCATTGTTTGAGTTACAGAAACTTATTTAGTAACTAACTGACCCGGCGAACTTCGTACCGATCATAAAAATAATGTAGGATTATAGTGGTGACAGATTTTTTAAATTAAACCATTTTGTAGTTAGGCCTATTCCATACAAACAACAAACAAAGACAATAAAATCTTCCTTTTTCTCTTTCAATATTTTTGAGCTTTATTAACCGATTGAGTCCCAGACGGCATTAATTAATGTCATAACAATTGATTATCTATTGTGTCTAGATTCGCGGAGCTTGAAGGATTAAGACATTGGAGGTTGTTATTTAACTGAGATAAAAATATTGTAGTGTGATTATGTTTTTTTTATTATTACTGAAAAAACAAATACACAATTCACTATTAAAGGAAACACAAAATTAAGTTAGTAGTAGGTACATGGTACCTAGCAATCCCGTACCGTAATAATAAATTATATTTAAAGCAAGATCAAAATAGGAATGAAAAGAGAAAAGACAGCCTTACTTCCTTTTTAAATACATAATGTACTGTCAACGTCAATCATGACGTAAAATCAAAACAACGTAATGTCATTATAAGGTAACTTATGATAACGTAAAGAAATAATCGTACATGAAATCCCTAAAATGGTGCCATAAATAGACGATAAAATTCGCTAGACTTTCCTGTATGTACAATAATAATAATAATAATCTATACTTATAATAAATCTGTAGAGAGGTCAATTCTGTACATAAAATATATTTTCAAAATAACTATCAGGGGGTGATTAGTGATCGATACTGATGCCAAAAATGCAATCAGTAAAATTTTTGTCTGTCTGTCTGTCTGTATGTTCCTTATAGAAACAAAAAGTACTAGACGGATTTTAACGAAACTTGGCACAATTATTCTTCATACTCCTGGGCAGGTTATAGGATACTTAAGAATTTCCACGGGAACAGGAATTAGCGGGAAAATCCTTTTGGTACGAAAAATCTAAACCGCTTAAGTTAGACGCTTGAAATTTGGCATGTAGGTACCTTAGTAAACTTAAAGCTTAGTTACAACAGGATATTGCAAAATTCCCACGGGAACGGGAGTTAGCGGGAAAAAACATTTGTATGAAAATATCAAAACCGCGTAAGATAGATGAAGGGGGTAAAACGGGATCCACGCGTACGAAGTCGCGGGCGGCCGCTAGTAAATAATAAAATAACTTTATTAACACACATTATGACAATACAATACAATCCCAACTA